ATATATTTGGGGATAACACATGAGACCAGATTTCTCACCTACGGTATAGCAATGAGAGAGAAACACTACTGAAAAAGGCTTCTGACATATATGAAGGCTAAAATAAATCAGTATCACTCATGGTTCCATCATAGAATTCATTTTTAAAAAAAAAAAAGAGAAGAAAAATTGATCAATGGAATTTCACATTTGGCATTTTAGCAGGCTCCTGAAAATTCTAAGAAATGAAACTATAAGAACAAACTTTATTCCAAAAAAACTATGGAAACAAGAGAAAAGAAAGGGAATAAGAGAAGACTTACTAGGATTTGTTTGGTGCCAGAGGTATCGAGGCCTCTTCTAGACAGCTGAGCTCGAAGCTCCTCGACTTTGAGCTTACACGACATTTTTTATGACACAAGCCTTCGAAAAATATGATACCAATTTGATTTTGAAGAATTATGAAATTAACAAAAGCTCGATTGATACGGATTATGAAAAGTCTATAAATTTTTGTAGACACACCAGTCATTAGAAATGAAAAATGGAAGGAAGAAAAATTGGAAATAGAAGTCGAAAACTTTGCTCTTGGTCGATGAAAAATTGCATACTGATCAGGAAGTTTTGAAAACTACAAGTCCTTCCTTTCCAGTTTCCCTCATTAGGATTGGAAAATTTTACTTCTTCCTCGATGAACTGTAAAACCCTAATACTCCCTTTTTCTTCCCTTTTATGGGATGTTTTTGCAGCGGGCAATTTCAACCTTGATATTAGGCGGGAAGCGCTGCTCTTCTTCCCGTAGAGAGAGAACTTCCTCCAAGCTTTTCTCAAATACCCAAATAGACCCGGCGTCGTATGAAGCAAAGTTAAGCATATTTATATAAGACTTATCTTCTTGGAGAAGGAGCCCTATAAAACGTTACGAGGAGAATCTTATAGCATAAGGAAGGGCCAGTGTTTTAGAACCCTACGATTACCGATCCAGACTCGCATGGAAGAAGTCCCAGCCCATTACCTCCAAAATTCCCCCTCTTTTAATTTTTAGTTTTTTTTTGTTTTTAGGATGCTGTTTGGATAGAGCCTAGGCTCTAAACAATCAAATTAGAGCCTACCTTCAAATAGTATCGAAAAATATGATTTCAATATCGAAAATCTTTTTGATAGCCTTAAAATATGTTTTCATCTTTATTTAGGAAGTTTAAAGCTTAAAAATTAATGTAGATCAAGAGATCTATAAAAACTTGAAAATTTTGAAAATTGACGGTCCAAAAATACATTACAAAATACATTATTTCCAAAACTTGAAATCCATTTATTTCTCATATCGATGCATCTTGATGTCGAGATGATCAATTTGAGGATATTTGGGCATCAAAACAAAGTCTTCTAATGAAATTTTTTTGTAGGCTCTAATTTGATTGATTAGAACCTCGGGTTTATATAAACTTTTCCCTTTTTTTTAAAGTTTACCTAATTTTTTTAGGTTTTTTTTTAAATTAATTAGTATTTTTACCTAATAACCTCAATAGACTCCCTTTGCAACTAACCCCAATCAAACTTCTTTTTCCCACTTTTTACTCAAAAATATATTGTTTTAGCAAATACCCCCAATATAAAAAGTATTTTTTTTTATTTTTTATTTTTGAAAAAAATACCCTTTTTGTACATAAAAAATTATTTTTGGCCAAACATTCACGTGGATTTACACTCATTGCCAAATGCTACATGGGCTGCCGGACTACCATATACCAATCAACTGACCCCATTAAACTAAAGGAAAATGTCAGACTGCCTTCATTATCTGTCGGGCAGCATATAGATCTGCCGGACCGCATATATAGATATGCTGGACCACATATAGATCTGCCGAACCACATATATAGATATGTCCGACGGCATATATAAAAATGTCGGACCGCCATATAGATCTGTTGAATTGTTTGTCCAAGAATTGAAGTGTTGGACCACCATAGGGATTTGCCGGACTACATTTTTTCCACGAAAAAAGTGCCGGACTGCAATGTACATTTGTCGGATTGGATGTTTATCCATAAAGAATAGTGTCAAACCGCTATGAATATCTGCTATACCGTACTTTTGTCTATAGGAGAGAGAGGGGTGGGTAAAAGTCAAAAAAGGTAGTTTAGTCTTTTGTTTATTTGTTTTTTTAGTTGGGGGTGTTTGTTAAGAAAGTAAATGTTGGGTAAAAAGCGTGAACATAAAGTTTCGTTGGGTATAAATTGCATAAGAAGTTCATAATTGGGGGATTAATTGTAATTGTTCCTTATTTTTAATCGGAGCCATGTAACCTTTTGGCTTTATTTTTATTATTTTTTACTTTATCTATTTTTATATATGTTTTAGATCACCAGTTTCAAACTAAATCAAACTCAATATGGATTGCCGACCAATCAATCCACTAGGGATATATGGGTGAACAATTTGTCTCAGTGATTGAGGTTTTAAAACACGTTGGAAAGACTTTTTACGAATTCCAATAGGGCAACAAGATTTATATTTAAAGGGTGAGGTTTGTATAGAGCCTACCTTCAAATAGTATCGAGAAATATGGTTTCAATACCGAAAATCTTTTTGATATCCTTAAAATATATTTTATCTTTATTTATAAAGTTTAAAACTTCAAAAATAATGTAGATCGAGAGATCTATGAAAACTTGAAAATCTTGAAATTTGACGGTCCAAAAGTGCATTACAAAATACACTATTTCCAAAAAGTTGAAATCCATTTTCTATCATGTCCATGCATCTTGATATCGAGATGACGAATTTGAGGATATTTGCGCATCAAAACAATATTTTCTAGTGAAATTTTTGATGTAGGCTCGAATTTGATTGTTTAGAGCCTCGGATCTATATAAAGTTTTCCCATACTTAAATTGGAGATGGTTCTTGACATGTAGATATGCATCGAGGATGGATTGTAGACCTAGTTTTTTTTTTTAAGTATGTGTGGTTTGTATAAGGCCGAGGACCTAAATAATCAAAGTAGGCCATACCGCCAAATAGTGCCGAAATATGTTGTTTCAGTATCAAAAATATTTATGATGATCTGAAAAATTTATTTTCGTCTCTAATTATATAAAATTTGAAGTTTAAAAATAGTATAGATCGAGCAAATCTACAAATACCTGAAAATCTTGAAAATTGATGGCCTAGAAAATACATTACAAGATGCACTATTTTCAAGACTTGAAATTTATTTTTTCTCGTATCCATACATCTTGAGGTCGAGATGATCAAATCGAAGGTTTTTCAACATCAAACAACTTTTTTCTAATTAATTTTTGAGGGGTGCCTTAATTTGATTGTTTAGGACCTTGCCATTATATAACTTTTACCTTTTAGTATATATAATATCTAACGGACTAGTTTTCTATGCTTCCCCTACAACATAAAAGTTCTATCATCTTCCTTATCCAACCGTCTATTTTTTACTGGAAAGATTGCCCAATCACAATGTCACGTCTCTACACTATTTTATTTTTATTTTTTTATAAATTATTTTAACATCAAATTTTGGACTTCCATTCCTCTATTAAACTCGCATTAACGAAAAATAGAAAACATATTTTCAATAAAATAAAATAACCAAAGTACCCCTGAAAGTTTCAAGAGGTATTTTGGTCATTTTTTTATAGAAAAATTATTATTAATATTTTTTATAGGTGCGCCCCAATGAGAAGATGACACTTACCAAATTTCATATTTAGAAAATTTGTATTAAAAAAACTAAAAATAAAATACTTTGAGATGTCGGATCTAAGATCAAATGGTGAGTGGCTCTCTTGATAAAAAATGAATGGCTGGGTGGTAGGGGGATGATAGAACTTCTATTTTGTAGGGAAAACATGGAAAGCTTTCCATATCCAACATAGATATGTAAAAAATAAATAAATGAACAAATTCTAACCCCGATTCATAAAACACTTTTCATGTAAATTTCCATGAAATTATATTGGCGTACAAGGATGAAGTCCAATTTGGAGGTACGATGCTTTTCCAATTTTCTCTTATTTATAAGCTTGCTCCAGGAAAGTACTAATATTGGCTTCCCTACCCCCAACAAAAACTTTCCCTTTTATTTATATTTTTTTAACTTATTTAATTTTTTTTTTAAGTCATCCTAAAATCCATCACATAAATCCTTATTCTATTGGAAAATGGTTTGATAGGGCTGCAGCCCCATCAAAATAAGTAAAGCTTCAACTCATAAGTCATAAAAAATTGCACTTCAAGCTTTGGAAAACCTTTACATCAATTATCTTGGTTTGAACGTTAGAAGATAATTAAGACTTCAAGCTCTAAAAATAAAATATAATGCAACAAATTATCTAGACCCTCCATTTCTCCTTAAAATAAAATGTTCATTGATCCACAAGGTCTATACATTTTTTTGAGTTTTAAGGTTTTTTGTTAGTGTTGAAAATTAATTTTAGAGCAATCATGAAGATTTTGTTGCCAAAAGTACTTTTCAGGTCAAGATTTGAGGTTACGCTTTATTTTGTTTTCATAAAGCATAGGGTTTATGGAAATTTCGTCATCTATATATATATATATATATATATAT